TGTGTGTGTGTTCCCCTCAAAAGCTACGGTTTATTTCATTTTAAGGATGAGCACCAAGCAACATCTCCAGGTGCTCCTTTGAGAACCAGGGCAAAAAAGTTATGCGAGACCATTTGGTCAGGGTCCTTGAACACAACACGAGCCTAACGTGTCATCACGTGGTATATGTCTGTATGACTGGGGTGTAGTGCTGACGGAGAGCACCAGAACGCCGCTCCGGCACTTCACAAATTACACCCATAAGGAGCCGTACACATGCCGCAATTTTTGCGTGGCTGTTTCTTTAGTTGAAAGCCCGATGGCGATCTGTTTATCTGTCATACTGATCATACAGTCAATAACTTTGTTATTAGCATCTGGTTAGCTAGCTATGCTAACGAATATAACAAGATTTTTACTACAACCAGTGAGGTAAAGGCACATCTTTATATGATCATTATAGTTATAAAAAAATAAGAGAATAATGGAAAAACTGATATAAAATACTATATGACAGTAAGAAAAAGTTGTTATTAATAAACAAGAATACAGTTTAAAGGTGGGGTAGGTCATTTTGGACAAACCAGCTGGAGTGCGCTATTTGAAAATACACAGCCTGAAAAAATCTGCCACTTCCTTCAGACTTCCTTACAGAGCTCCTCCTCCAACACACACGAACGCGCACATGACCAATGAGGGCACGAGATAAGTTTGTGCACAGATGGAAGGCTGACAGGCAGGTAGGCCATCCAGTTATTTTAGCCGGGCCGGCTCAGATGATTGGTCGTGCTTTTTGCAGTACCACGGCTTCCACAGATGACATTTTCCAATGGATTTATTGTCAAAGCACTTCAGATATTCATTGCTATCGGGGTGTTAAGAGCATTCCATGGAATATAACAAAAAGTGTATCTCGAGCCGGTTTTCTCAAACCGCCTTTAAAAGGGGAGTGATTTGTAAAATATCCATAAAGAAAAAGAAAATCTGCTTACAGTTCTGTTTCATATGGATGTTGAGAGATGTATCCATAGATCTCTTAATGTTGCTCTCAAAGTTCACCAGATTGATGCTTTTAACTTCAACATTTAAAAAAAGATCTTCCCGGAGGAGCATACCCCCGGACCCCCAGGAGGTTAGGTCCTACCCCCACTTAAATCATGTTCACATGGATAGGAAACTAAATACATTTGCACACATCTTGTATCCATATCTTTCTGTTTTGCACCGTGCACGTGCATGCGTGCGTGAGTCATGGTGAGATATCTGGATTAAGAGGTTGCTTTTTCTTTGCACAGCATGAAAGAAAGGCCAAATGAATGGGCTGTGATTTTAGTATTTTTAAGCAGAGGTCAATCATTTGTACGGCCCTCGGAGGATGTTGTGAAAATTGAAATGGCCCTTGAGAGGAAAAATGTTGAGCAGTAGAGCCACAAAATACAGATATGAACCTGAAAAGGAACATAATGGAGCCCTCTTTAATCAAGACAAAACTGTTCCCTGATTGTGTGACGAACACTCGTAACGGCTGGAGGTTTATTTACCCGAAATAGGCTGTGAACTTGGAGGTCGGTGAGTTGGATGGAGCCGTGTTGTAATTTGTCGGCAGGGGGTACAGGGAGCAGATGGCCCTGACAGACTGTAACTCACACAACAGAGAGGGGAGCTCAGTGCATGCTGGGAAAAACCCCGGAGACAAAGGGGAAGAGAGGGAGGCTGATATGCACCAAGAGAATTGTAAAAATATAATTTAGATTTGTTGTGAGATAAAATCGCAAAACTTTCCCTCACTCAAAGGTCTGATTGAGGAGCGCTGCTGCCCTCTGACCTCACTTTGTGCTGTGGTCCTTTAACACACAGTCACCTTGGCAATGACAAGCACGCTCTCCAAGACCATGACATCACTCCAAAGACAAAAAGAAGACGAGGAGGAGGAAGATGTGAGGGGTGTGTGTAGGTGGAGAGCGGGGGGGGGGGCTGTCGTCTCTGGCTCTACAAAACCTCTGCAGCATCCGAACTGATGCCCAACGCTCAGCTCCCGAACAGAGGACGGACGCAAGAGAGAGAGAAACATTCATCTGTTCAGTTCCATCAGAGAGCGAGGAAGAAGAGGAGGAGGAAGAGGAGAGAAAGTGAATGTCCCTGCAGGTGAAGACAACTGAGAGGTAACAGAGCGATGGAGAGGAGTCTGTGAGAGCAGAACAAGAACTCAGAGAGAAACCCAACCACAGGTGAGCACTTCAAATATGTTATGCTATTTAGTTTGTGTTTTATTGAGCGGTATCCTTACAACTGTTTTAGCTTTCTAAAATGTTTACTTTATAGTCTTTAAATATATTTTAGTTTTTAATTAACTGTAGTCCTTGTAATTTACTGTGTTTATAGTTTTTGTTTTCAAAGCCAATTACTCATTTTGTAGAGGATTTATTTCCACAATTCAGGCTGAAAGCAACCTTAGGAGAAAGCCTTTTTTTAAGTTGGTCTGTTTTCAAAGTTAGTCTTTAATACGTAAATCTCAACAGGTTACCATTAAATGAACAAATCCTCTACATTTCTCTTCATTTTACACTTAATTAATACTTTCTAAATGAATATTGTCTTTAATTGAGAACTATTTAATGAAGGAAAAAAGGAAATTTTTCTTTAAACAAAACACATCATTTATGAAAATCTTATTTACTTTTTTGTGTTTTAAGAACCTTACAGGAACGGGGGCTGCAATTCACCTTTCACTTGTAACTCTAGATACACATTACATCTGTGCATTCCTCAACTGTTTTTAAAAATGTTTATTTAAATGCTAAATATAAAAATAAAGTCCAAAAAAAATCCTGAAGCCACCAGTTAAGGATTGGTTCGACTTGTCTGCAAAAATCTATCCTTTTCCCTCAGATTATGCAAACTAAAGTGCTTTATATGAACAGTATGAATATATGTGACTGTTTTGCATAAACGATGTTCCTTTCTGTCTCGCAGCCGGTGTATTTTCAGTCTCCAGTTAGTTTCCTGTCCTCCTCTCGGCTGCCATGCTGTGCCCGGTGCTGCTGTGTGTCGCTCTGCTGCTGCTCTCTCCTCTGGAGAACACTGAGGCTCGAGCTCTGCACCCGTCTCCTGACGCTGTGCAGGTACACAGGGAGGAGGAGGAGGAAGACGAGGGAGACGAGGGAGAGGAGGGAGGGGAGGGGGGAGCTGAGAGGATAGAAACAGGGAGGAAAGAGTGGATTGGGGAGAATTCAGAGTGGATGTTAGAGGATAGAAAAAGGGAGATAAGATAGGACTTCATTTATCCTGAAGGAAACTGTTGTGCCAGAGTTAAACAAAAATTCAATAAACACAGCAGCACAATAATAATAAAACTGTACACTAACAGTGCAGCAAAAAGAGCAATTCAATAACTACAGGAAACATAGACAGTCACATCATTAATGTAAATATTAACAGTATTTAGTAGTTCAAAAACCGTAGTGTTAGTTACGTAATTGCACGTTAAAGAGTGGATTGGGGAGAATTCAGAGTGGATGTTAGAGGGTAGGAAAAGGGAGGATTCAGAGTGGATGTTAGAGGGTAGGAAAAGGGAGGATTCAGAGTGGATGTTAGAGGGTAGGAAAAGGGAGGATTCAGAGTGGATGTTAGAGGGTAGGAAAAGGGAGGATTCAGAGTGGATGTTAGAGGGTAGGAAAAGGGAGGATTCAGAGATGTTAGAGGGTAGGAAAAGGGAGGATTCAGAGTGGATGTTAGAGGGTAATCCAGAAACAGGGAGGGACAGCCGGAAGAGAGAGTAATGAAATGTGTCCCTGATTGAATCATTCCTCTCCCTGACAATTAAATCTAATCTTCTTCTTCTTCTCTTGTAGTTCATGGAGCAGTTTCTGGAACGCTACAACGACCTTTTGACCCTGGACGACCTGGAGAGCCTGCTGAACAGCCCGGCAGAGGAGCAGTCCACCCTGTCCTCGGGGGGCAAAGCAGCCGAGTACCCCAAAAATGCTGACGCGCAGACGCAGGCGGAGACCCCCTGGCTGCGGCTGCTGAAGGGCGCTCTGGCCAATCAGAAGAGGGCAGAGCCAGACCGGTCCAGAAGGGGCTGGAACCGCGGCTGCTTCGGGCTGAAACTGGACCGGATCGGATCCATGAGCGGACTGGGATGTTAGTGCGGAGAAATAAAGACTGATGGCTTCCTTCTGAGAGTAAAATAAGGAAACACACACGTGCAGAAATGTTTTGACTCCATGTAGGGTGGTGTAAACCTGCAGATTAGATCACATGCTTCACTCTCTCATCACAGCAGCTGTAGTTTATTCCATGTATTAAAGTGAATATTATGTGAGCTGTATTTACATCATTAAGTCATCTTTGATTGTTGGGCTTTTAAATTGGCACTTTCTGGCATTTGTCTTCAGTCAATGTGATGACACACTTGTTAAATCTGTGGGTGGGGGTTGTGTGTCAAATCAGGTGAAATGGACGTAGATATTAAAACATTGTGCCACCTGTGACTCTTGCTGATATTATGTTTGTTTTCTTATGATTTGCACGAATAAATGGATTTGACATTTAAGGTGTTTTTGTTCACAGATAATTATCCACACAAACATCTGAGGCTTTTTACTCTCTAATGACACTTTTCACCTCAATCAGCCCTTCAAAGTGCAGCTTCTAATTCCTCTTTACCATATTTCTTTAATGTTTCAGTGGCTATTGGAGGAATGTACATGTCTTGGGTTACCTATTTTCTTATGGAAAGTGTTTGTAACCTCCTCCGATTTCTCCAAAACTGAAAAAAAAATCTGTTTAATCACCGCTGCCACCAGAAGGTCCCCTTAATGTAGCAGCTGCAGACACATTTCTGTCTAACTCTTAATGCCTTATCATACCTTCTAATAGTGGAGAAATATAAATTTGGCTTTCTTAATAACTGTATGTGAGATCCTTCGCTGAATCCAAAATGGTTTTATTGTTGCACTTCAGCCAAGTTCCCGAGGCAGGGAAACGGATATAAATATATTGGCCTCTTTTTCAGATAATCTCGTGAAATGTCCCATTCATTCATAAAATATGTATATGAGTATGATGCGATGTGGGCTACATGTTGCATTATTTGTACCAGCAATGAGCCAAATCTCAAAGACGAGGAATCCCTTTCACAGGCTTGAGGAAATGTGCAGAGGTGTGTGTTGAAGCCACGACTGAATTATCATCTCAAGATCCATTTAGGAGCTCTCATTATCTTATCATAGGATCTTAATCAGTACTTTTGGTGCCATTTGGACTTTCTTTATTCTTTATACATATATATATTAATACAGGATCTATATTTTCATAAAAAACATGCAGCAGATGAGGATCATGTAATTTCACCGAAAGCTCCAGAACATCTATTCAATGGACCTTAAGGTGAGACTGTTTTATGTCAACTGTTTCCAGACATTTTCTTACATTATATTGTACAAAGCATTTCCACATAACGCCAGTCTTCTACCTTTTACTCCTGGTAGTGTCTCTACTTTAAAGAGTCCTCTCCTGCTGATGTTCAGGTGTATATCAGTATGTAGTGTCTCTACTTTAAAGAGTCCTCTCCTGCTGATGTTCGGGTGTATATCAGTATTTAGTGTCTCTACTTTAAAGAGTCCTCTCCTGCTGATGTTCAGGTGTATAGACTAAACAGGACATATTTTGCTCATTTTCAGCTATCAGTATGTAGTGTCTCTACTTTAAAGAGTCCTCTCCTGCTGATGTTTAGGTGTATATCAGTATTTAGTGTCTCTACTTTAAAGAGTCCTCTCCTGCTGATGTTCAGGTGTATATCAGTATGTAGTGTCTCTACTTTAAAGAGTCCTCTCCTGCTGATGTTCAGGTGTATATCAGTATGTAGTGTCTCTACTTTAAAGAGTCCTCTCCTGCTGATGTTCAGGTGTATATCAGTATGTAGTGTCTCTACTTTAAAGAGTCCTCTCCTGCTGATGTTCAGGTGTATATCAGTATGTAGTGTCTCTACTGGGACATGTCTCCATGCTTTAATGTTCAAAAAGCTCTTTATTTTTCTCATACTGCCTGTGCTGCAGCACCTCTTTTCACCCTCTGTCTGAAACCAGAGCCCAGTCTGCTCTGATTGGTTAGCTGGCCGGCTCTGTTGTGATTGGTCAACAGCTTAGAGATGTCCCGCCCCTTAGCCTATCACGTACAATGTGTTGGAGCGCTAGCCAATAGTACAATGGAGAACTTTGAGGCAGGGAGGGGAGTGTGTGGGAGGGAACACAGGGATGTTAGCCTTTGCAGACCATTGACATGCACTAAACCTATACAACACACTACAGGAAAGGGAAAGCCTCTTTAAATAGATGGAGATTCCCTTCGCAGCACTAGATGGCAGTCTTTTTCCGTAAAGTGTTTATTTCTCCTCACCACAGAGTTGCCCTCTGGACTTTGCACAGGACACAAGTTGTGTTGAAGTAGTTACAGTCCTCTTCTTTATGCAAACCTCTGCAAAAAGCACTTTGCCAAATCCATAATCAATAGATACTAGCTGTAGTAAACAAGATAACATAGAGAATTGACAGAAAGGCAGCTGTCATTGTGTTTAAATCGTGTTTTCATTGCAGATTTCTTTTGATTCTTACACAGACTAACACTAATACTTGCCCCAGATATGCCGTCCTCTCCTGGGTGAAGTGTGAACATGTGATGTGTATAAGGCAGTATTTACATTACCAGTATAAAATGGACCGAGTGTTGAGCAGCCAGCCGGCGTCTAATCTTAGCCTGACCTTTAATTCCCCTCTCTGACCTTAAGCTGAGAGCAGAGGGTGAGAGCGGCATGCACTCAGGGGCTGTGGTCCTTCAGATACGCCGGACAACTGGACCGCAGCCATGAAACACAGAGCAGCCCGGCCTCCTGTTACAATAGCAGCACCGTTTCTGCTGGAATAAATCAATGAATGTCTGTGGTGCAGCTAGATAACAATGTGTTCCCAGTGATGGAACCTATTAAAGTACATATACCCAACTACTGTACTTTTATTGAGTGTTTTCATTTGATGCTACTTTATATTCCTCCACTACACTTTGGAAGCCAGTAAATATAATTCAACTTATTCGTAAACGTTGACATATAATGATATGAAAAATAATCCAGCAGTTGCATGCAAAAGTTTTAAAATTAGGTTGAACTTAATGACTCAATAAAATACATTTATTCAAGTAATGCACTAAACTATTTAGATGAATACACAAAATATAATCAAAGAACATTTTAAAAATTGGTTAAGCTGACCTCATTGATCTCCTGGTGAAGTTTAAAAGCTGCACGGCCGCTTTTGTGCACTTTATACTTTTAGTGGAAGAGAGTCTGTCTACTCTGTTGTTTTACTATTCTTACTGGAGTAAAATACCTTGTTCCCCCTCTTGTTTTAACAATTCAAATCACCCTCTGAGTGCTTACTTTACAAACGCCAAGTCTGTTACAAGAGAAAAAAGTCAAAATAAACTCTGACATGTTCAGGCCTTGTCATATTCTGTGTTTAATGAATAGAGGTTTCATTTAGCAGCAGAGAAACACGTTGCCAAGACTCTAAGTGCAGCACTTTCATCCAGACAAAGGAAACTGTCTTTCAAATGAACGTTCTTCAGCCTTAAGCTTCGGTTTGACATTTCTAATGAACCTGACAGAGACTCAAACAGCCCGCCTCTTCACATGCGTGACGAAGAGTTCACGTTGAGCAACTTAAAGTCAACTTTTGACTCTGATGCAGAGGTGGAGGGAGACGGTCTGAAAGTGAAGGGTCATGGTATTTGGACATTAAATGTCACAGTGGGGAAGACAGAGATTTGATCCTTGGTGTGACTGTATTCACTGAGAAGGTCAGTGGGTTACTCCTCTCTGTTTTCAGTCCACTATCTGAGGACTTTAATATCTATATCTAGATAGGAAGGTGGCAACAAACGCAAAAAACTACATTCTGAAACTTATGCTAAAATATGTCAATATAAGCTAAATATTTCTGAGAAGTAAAAAGTCTTCCACAGTTTTAGACTCACATGCAGTTGCAGAGGGCAGCTTGCATGTTGCAGACTGACCTTGACATTCAGGGGGGCGTGGCCATGAGAGGGGACCATTGAGGGGGCGCGGCCTCAATCTCCGGTCAATCATAAAAACACACCGACACACTCTGCTCTACCTCACTCTCACCCGGAGTCAAGACAGACTGAGGCATCTCACAAACGGTAAATACCTCTAACAACAAAATAATTTTACACACCTCAGACCTCAAACACTCACTCACACAAGTCCTGATTTAGATCAGCTGGGGGACAATCTGCATGAGCTCAATTGAACCGAGGTTTGAAGTCAATCTAGTCATAAAGTTAATAGAAATTCACTTTGCTTATCTCTCGTTTTAAAATGTAGAAGTGTTGTTTATGAGCATGTAAACTTGTTTTTAGTGCAGATTAACTTTCAGGGATTGCAGATTTAGTCTAGCGTGGCCTGTGTTCACAGATAGTTTATCGGTGGAATAGTTTTGCATGTTCATTTGCACTCTTTGCGTATCCCTTTACAAGCTGCCCCTCACTAAGTAGAAACGTATTTATGGTATCGTAAATATATGTGATCATAAATGGTGGTTGTTCACTTATTAACAGGATGTATTGTTTTTCCTCTCTCTAGCACACCCCAGGCAAAATGGTGAAAGTAGGAATTAACGGGTAAGAGTTCATTTTCACCCACACACTCCAAATAACACACACACACACACTCACACTCAACTTAAAGTCTCTCTGCACCCCAAATAACCGTAACACTGCTCACCTGTGTATACAGTGAGCATTAAACAGATATCCTGTCGAGCTAATGCTGCCTTTAGTGCAATGTACTCAATTCTTGAAGCTTATTTGTTAGTTTGATAAACATTGATAAAGTATTGTTAGACATTCACACACTTTAACCTACATTTACTTACTAAAAGCCTGTACAAATAAATAACTAACAAATAAAAAAACAAGGTAAAGTTATCAGAATTGCATCAAATCAAAATAAGGAGGTAGAAAAGGGTTTCAAAAGTGCACAAAAAGACAATGTTAGTTTGCCCCTAACTGCTACATCTATCAATGCATGGGAATTTAGGAATATTATATGTAGTCTTGTGTCTAGTAGGATATCACTGAATTAGTCTTGGAAATACAATTTGTTCTACTGCATGTTGATTAGTAAATACAGTTAAGATATTAAGCTAATAACAATTTTAGTGCAGTGTTTTAATGCTGTGATACAGAGTGTTTATATGGGGGAATAACTCTTTGATGAATGATAAAAGGAGTCCAAGCTTCAGTCTCTCTGTGATAATATAAATAGTGACACAGCAGCTGAGAGGACAAATGTTTGGTGAGGCCCCAGATCCACAGGGGTCTCATGTTGCTCTTGAACTTTGGCCCCTCAGCAGATAACAGAGTGGGCAGTTGCTCGGCCACGGGGGTCAGCGGGGGATGGGTTTTCTGACGTCTGAAGCTTGTAACAGAACTGTAAATGTTATTGAACGCTCACAATGTGACGTTAGAAGAGCTCCC